GGGGCTTGTTTTTTTAATGATATAATTATAGAAACTTATTTATGTATAAAATCAGCAACAGTCAGGGGATTTTTTTTTGTGCAGAGCAAGAGTCATTCCCACACATCCTTGTCCTCACTGTATTCTTCGACATTATAATAGGCCGTTGCCATTTAATATAGCTTTTACAAAATGTTTGAAATTGTTTATACTTAGTTGTTCCCGGATGACACCAATTTTATTATAAAAATTAATGCATCTACCAAGAAACTATTTTCTAGTTAAAGTCAGTCTAAGCCTCGGTACTTCCAGAGAATCACCATAGCCTCGACACGACGTGGTAGGTTTTCTTTTGTAAAAATGTGGATATACGTATATCTACATGATGCTCTCGAGTATGTATAGCGACGGCAGCGTTAAAACATTTATTTTCTAAAAATGCCGTACAGGATTTTTCACACGTAAAAAAAAATCTTAATAAATTAATTTTTGACCTATTATTATATAGGCTTATTTTGACCTTTTATTATTCACATGAGCCCAATCCATAGAAAGCCCATATAGCTTGCTTTTGCAATACAAATATTGTATCTAAACCGAATGCGGAACCTCAAAGTAAAACACCTAATGATATAATGTTGGGAAAATATGCATAGTAAACTAATTTAGCTGCTACCTCGTTAGTTAGCTGCTTGACCTTGCTGCGTATGGCAAAGACGGTAGCGCGGAATGTCTTAGTTAACGTTGTTAACTAATCGATGACTCCGTGGTGTAGTTGCCAAGGTATTGGCTTCGACGTCGGGGGTCGTGGGTTCGATTCCCACAGGGGACAACTATTTGTGCGACCCACAGATAGTTGTTTCGCATCTGGTTTATTCGTTTGTTCTCGTGCAATTTATGTTTATAAAACGTCACAGCCTTACCACACAGGATAGTGTTATCCTAAAGTGAGGGCAGTGTTTTTTAAACAAAAAAAAATAAACTTATCTACATGTAATCCCGATTGCAACTTGTGAACAGTGCTCGCTCAGTCCAAGCATATCTCAACCATGTGGGTATATCAGTGTCCAGCAAGACCTCGGACATGTATCCTATAGAGCATGTTTGGGACTTTTTAAAGAAAAGAGTTAAATCGAGAATACAACCCCCTAACAAACCGAGAGAAGTACCAAACGCATTACTTGAAGAGTGGCAGAGCTTGTCCCAAGATACAATAGATAACATAATTCGCAGCATACCCAGGATGGAAACGTTTGTTAGAGCACTAGGGGGAAAAACACGTTCTTATATTTTTTTTATTTAATGTTAAAATCTTAGTAATGTTTAATTTACAACATTGTTTGTTTCCATAAAACAGAGAAAAAGGTGTTTATTTTATGTTGATTATTTTTACCCATTTTTTATAAAAACTTCCTAAAGTCAATGTTATAATCTTTTTTACTTCATGTACGGTTATTATTTGTACACGTTATTATTTCTATACTCTGCCTTTTTTTTAACGTTCCGCTAATTGTGCCGGTGTGTATATATCGGGATATGTATAAATATTTTAGAACAGAGGTGAGCAACCTTTTTAATCAATGGGTCAATTTAAATTTAATTTTTTTTGTCGGGCCGCACATAATAATTTACGAAACTTTACTTATAATAAATAATAGAATAAAGAAATATAAAATTAAAAAAAGTAAAGATTTCATATACAAATTTTAATGCAAGGTAAATTGTTTTTACCTTGCATTAAAATTTGTATATGAAATCTTTACGTTTTTTAATTTTATATTTCTTTATTCTATTATTTACCGACAAGAAAAGAACAGAAAAACGAACAAAAAATATTTCGGTTCAGTATATACTACCATTTTATTATAATTAATATTATAACAATATATTGATGGGAGAAATTCGATAAAATAAATTCAATTTTAGAACATATGCTTGGCGGGCCGCATAAACATGTTTAAGGGGCCGCAAGCTCGCGGGCCGCGCGTTTCTCATCCTTGTTTTAGAACATTTATTTCTGCGTCTGTTTTAGAAATGTAATGAATATCTATAACCGTCGTTTTAGCTGGTGTTACACGACTTGCCCAGAATTTTTGATAGGATCAACTTCTACGACTCAGACAGTTTAATACACATTAAACGGTGAAGCAGTAGACCAGGCAGCGAAATAATATATTTAATTTAGAAAGTTGAGAGAAAAGAAAAAATAACATTTAACAGTTTCCAATTGGGATAAGCCGATATCAGTTTGTAACAAGAAAAATTATGCTCGATAATAAGATCTGAGTATATCAATAATGGAAATTGTTAGAAGAGACCTATGCCAAGAGGCAAACTGATCTTCGGGACATAATTATTATAACAAAAACAAAATATTGCATTCATACTTATGATAAGTTCAAAGAAACAAGGCCTTTTATATATCAATAATGACTTATAAACTCTCGGTTTAAGTTTTCTGGAGTACGTCCCGACAAAAATGCGTACAACAGCGGAGAAGCATAAATTGCTTTTTATGTACTTAGCACAATATCTATTTTGGACGAATATAGTTTATTTTATGAGGTTTGAGTAAATCGTACTTATACATTGGATACATTTTTTTTTAATTTATATAAAACTTTTTTTTATCTATAAAATAGATTACGATGATGCTCAAGATACATATAAACTTTGAGCAGGGGTAATTTTCTGTCCAGTGTTGAGAGTATATCAACCTATAAAACATCAAAGTATTTTACACTTTTCATTTAATGCGTGAATTGGAAAAATTCTACAGATCGAAGGATTTTTTACACATGTAGATGATACATATAGGTATTGAAAATATATAGGTACTGAAAGTATATGATACATATATCTATGGGTACTAAAACTTGTCCACACGATTAAACCAATCGTCATCGTCACGTGGATATGACGTTTCATTACATGAACACATTTGATTTCATTTCAATATTCTATAGATAATTATTTTGAATCTCAGTGACACCAACTATACAATGTAGTTGTGTTTGTATGGACATTATCTAGGGTAGGGTCTTAGGGATTATGATAATTAAAAAAGGAGCATCAAAATAAATATTTTTTATTGGATTGATGTGTAATGTTTAATCTACATAAATGGGAATAATATAAAACAACCAAACGATTTTCATCATTCTTTAATGCGTTTTCTCTAATTTCTTGACAGCGATGAGCACTTTTGGTGAAAATAGATACCAGAAATCAGAATAATAATAATATTATTATTAAAATTCGTGAATAAAAAAACACGACTCTAAATAGGTTTATAATTTCCAGCAGTTCAACTTCACAATAAAAATAGATCTCTTCTATAAAATTTATATAATTTATAAAAGCGGCAATGTTCGATAAAACAACAATAAATAAATGCTTCTTGGGGGTTAAACGCAATTTATATATATATATATATATATACATATATATTTGTTATTCGTAGATAAATTGACAGATAGTCACTCTGCTAAGATCAATCGTATAAATATCTTATGAGTATAAAGTATCTATTGGTGTTAATCGACAAACAGAACTAGGCTGCGTTTATCTACTATTAAGCTACTGCGTATTGGTTCGTCGTTTAATTTTTTTTAACTACATTTTGGCTAAAAAGTCAACATTTGCAAAAAAAACAATTCTTCACAAATTGTCATGACATTATAAGAATAGTCAACGATGAATGTTGCCGAAGCGACGCCGCCGCCGGCCCGTGGCGCCCTCTGCCCCACTACGATATGTCTCGGCGTCACCTATTTATTGCTAAGTCGCCATACCGAGAAGTGATTGCGACGTCTAATTCGAGTGCTGTCGGATTAAATATCAACTAGAGAGATACGGGGTCCAAATTATAACGATACATACTCTGGCTCGAGAGTATTGGAAGCTTGAAACGCATGCGAACTGGAACTACACGTGCTTACTTCTAATGTGGCGGGCGCTCCGAGCCGGCGGCGGGTAAATGGCGGCTCTCCCGCGGCCCTCAATGCCTATCACATAACGTAATTCGTCCGAATTTGTTACCGCTTCGGCCCATCTACTTATTCCTACGAAATGATCACTATCGATAATAAATTATTATTTCACCTATAATTAAAACAAGGTACGTGGTGTTGTTGTGATACGAGGACAGGAGCGTTCGTCTCACAAACGAGCGCACGTGTTAATTGACTGGATCGCTTCAACGAACGCCCGATCACCGCTTCTATCAAACGAACGCTACAGGCGAATTCTCGAAAATCACTAAATATTTACATAAAGAAAACGATCTGAGGCACTACTGATCCACTTCTAATTAGGAGAACCGTGAAAAACCTTCTGACGTTTGCCGGTCGGTATGACTACTTACTAAAATTAAAAAAGCCACAGTGCTTCTTGATTTGTGAGTGAACGAGATGTGTTGTGCTTCCTTTTCGCGGTGCTCTCGCGGGCCGCCCGCACTAGCGCGGCCTCACCTACGCTCTACGTTCCAGCGTACGTGTAAAAAGTTAATAACTTCAAATATATAACACCCACCGACGCGTATGCCGGGAACGTTCCGAGTAATGATTCGCACGATCATCGAAACGTCGCGATCGAATATTTCGCATTAGTCAACAATAGCGACTATTCGTACGCCAACAAAGCATAAAATAGTGATATCTTTACATCTCAGTCTAGTCTATATAATTAGTTATTTCCTCTTTTAATGGCAAGGTATCTCTATACTTAAAGATTCAATAGTTATCATCCATCAATATATAACAGGTATATTCTATACAATCGATATACGTTACGTATTCGATGCTCACAGCGTCAATGATATAAAATTTAACCTAAATTATAACACAGGAGAATTAAGTATAAGATCACAAAATGAGATTCAGCGCGGTCGGTGCGCGCCCGGCGAAGTCGCGGCTATGTCGTGTCTACGCTACAACTAGCGAGGCGGCGAGCTCGCACTAAGCCTAGTATTGCTATCGATCGGGTGGCGCGCGGCGCTAGCACTAGATGGTGCGTCGTCAGGGCGCTATGCCGGCGTCCGATTTGTGGAAGGCGGCGGTGGCGGCTAGCGGCGGCTGCTGGGCCTGCGCCGAGCTGAAGTCGTGCTCGGACTTGGGCCGGGGGAGCGCCGCGGCCACGCCCAGGCCCGGCAACGCCACGCCCGCCATACGGCACGAGGCGGCCTGGAGGGGTTGCAGGGCGAGCCCCAGCGAGCGCTCTGATAGACGCGCCACGCTGTCATCCGATAAGCTCACGTGCTCCGCCTCCGCTGCCAGCGCGTTGACCACGGCGTTGATCGTGTTCCCCTCCGACGTTGTGTCGTCCTCGCGATGCGCCACGAGGTTCGGGTTCTTGCCTATCTTGTTCAGCCGCTCGGCGGCCACGCTCTCCATCGTTCGCCGCATCAGCGGATATTGGTCGAGCACCGCGTTGAAGTGGTCCACTGAGAGAGAGAACAGGTTGCAGTAGGTTTCAGCGCGGACGGAGGCGACTCGGCGCGCGTTGGTCAACAGGCAGATCTCGCCGAAGTAGGAGCCGTCGGACAGGCTCGTAGCGACCTCCCCATTCGCCATCACAATGTCCACGATGCCCTCTTGGATGAAGTACATTTTGTTTCCTATGGTTCCCTCCTTAATTATTATGTCGCCTGCAATATTAAAAATGTAAATAATTTACATTTGGAATAAAGCGAGATACACAGTTCATCAGATTACAAATATAAGTAGTAATAATAATTATTATTATTCAGATTTTTCTCCCTCTTCCACGTCCATCCATATAGAGGTTAAGCATGTAACTGGTGCAACAAATATTTAAACAAAAACCTTATTAAATTACCGGGTTGGAAGACTTCGTAGCGTAGCTTGGTGACGACATCCGAAACAAAGTTGGAATCGGCGTTAGCAAAGAACGGTACCGAGGCAACGAGCGATCGACAGTTGTAGTTTATGACGTCCTCTCGTAGCTTCTCGCTCAGTTCACCCAGGATTAGTTCCTCGTCGAAGAATTTGCCCTGGTATCGGTGTTCGAAGTACTCGGTGATGCGTTGGCGCATTTCACGAGGCAGCTTCCTATACGCCATATATTCCTCCACTTGTTTGACCTTAAATTTCACAAAATACCCAAGGTCATTGAAATGTATGCTTTCATATACGTAAGAGCCGAGCTAAGTACTGTGTTCGTTAGAATTGAGCTACATGTTTTGCACACACGCACACATTTTGCTTCACAACACATCAAACAGTGCAGCATTAGAATCTAGCTATCCTATACATATGTACTGTCTTATTATTAATGCATAGCATACATATAAAATACATAGGACACTGGAAGATAACATAGATAAGTATCAGAAGCAAACTGTTATGAACACCAATTATTTCCGTGACAATGTTACATGAATACTGTTGGTATATTAATAACTGCTGAAAGTTAATGTGCACGAGATAGTTTGACCAAGTGATGAACCGTGAATCTATGACTCCATACAACGGAAACCATTAAACAATCATCCAATCTGTACTCACGTCTAGTCTCTGAAACAGGCAATGACTAGTAATTAGTTGTTATCTGATAAAGGTACATGCGAAAAAGATATTAGAAATATTAAAATCATGAAATGAACAATTCGAAACGATTTTGTTTTTGTTACAATGTAAACACTTTTGTCTCGAAAGATGATCTCAATATGTTCATAACAGCTTACAGTCTGATCATAACCTGTAACAGTTATGACACAAGGAGGCACACAAAGTAGGTTCAAGAGACAAGTGGATAGAGAAATTAGTTCACCTTTTCGCGGTATTGTCTTCGGGAGGAATCAAGACTCTGGATGAGGTTGGTCGCGTGTCCAAGGAAGAGTGCATAGCAGGTGGCACCGGAGATCATGGAAAGCATCGTAAGCCACATATCGGTGAGGGATTGAGGTGGGAAGCGGCCATAGCCGATGCACAACATATGAGACATGGCTTTGAAGAGCGCCCAGGAATATTGTTCCAACCAGAAGGCTTCCTGAAACGTTAAAATAGTAATTTGAACACGTTTTAACACATTTGCAAAGTTAGAGGATATCAAACTCTTTAATGATCACAGAGTTAGATGCAAAGTTATTGTAATTATATTTTAACTACTGTGGTGGGCTCACGAATCAGGCTTCAGTATTGGACAAATGGACAGGCTCGCCCAAGAAAGTGCCAAGGCCTCACAGAAGATCAGCGTGGATTGGAAGTATTATACTTTCTCGTTTCGTCTGGTCACCCTTTCATAGGTTTACAACGCATCTGCAAAGCTTAAATAGAACGTAGTATCAGGTGAACCGCTGGCAAACTTAACACCTTTTTCTCACATAAAAAAATCTATGCGTACTTAAATTCAAAATCTAAAACGATGTATATGGAACGATGCTTATGTTACATTATGTTTATCCTACCTGTAGTTCATTAATAGCGACCCAAGAGTTTGGCGGGAAGCCTTGCAGCATCGGAACAAGGAACTGCAGACATCCCGACCAGTGGCCGATAAGCAGCATCATGCAGATCAGATTGAATATCCGCATGAACACTGACGCCATGTTGAGGAACTGTGAACAGAATTGTCTCATGTGAACAACACGTCGGACAGGCGACGACGCCTCTAAGGGAAGCCGTGCGGACTGCGCGCGACAAGGACGCTCGAGGTCAAGCATCGCGATGATCTCTACCGATGGATTCGTAAACACGTGAAGATATAAGATGTGAACGCGTGAACGCCATCGAGCGGGCATGCGGTCTCATGGGGGGCGTGGCGCTGAGGGGCGCGCGGCCGCGGCCGCCGCACGACCGCGCGACCCTCCCGCCGCCCGCGCGCCCGCCGGCGGGACTAGGGTCGGAGAGAAACGCCAACGAAAGGTAGAAAGCGAAGCGAACACAGCGGTGTAAAGGACGCCGGGCGGCGCCGGCAGCATGCTAAGCGGGCGAACGAGCACATGCGCGCCGGCTCGCGCCGACCCTGGTTACCTTGAAGATCAGATTGCTTTTGGTGTCACCCTTCTTTTTTGCAACGTCCGAGCTGAGCCGTCCTCTCCGTTCGGTGCGCTTTTTTTGTAGGTTCTGCAAGATCTAGAAAACAAGCGAGAAACACGAGATAGTAGGAAGAGAGCCAGGCGCGCCCGACGGGAGCGCGGGCGGGATCGGCGGACTGGTGTCGCCGCGGGTTGGTGCGGGGCGGGGCGGGGGCGTGGGTCGTGCGGGCACACGGGATGCACTAACACCGAGACGAACGGGCCGCGGGCTAGACCCCTACGGTAACTAGTCGACGCGGGCATGCGGCACCTGCGAGGCGAGGTCGCGGGAGCCCCCGCCGTCCGTGTCGCCGGGCTCGTCGCGCGGCTGCGGAGCTGGGCTCATCTGCACACAACACCGTCACTGCGATGTTGCCACCACCACCCTCCCCGTACTCCACTTCTCTATGACTCTCAGCTTCGTACCGCGTTACGGCTTTATCGCCCACTTTTAATTAGTACGATTGCATTACGATAGCCTTCGCTCAATGTTTAGCCTGTGAGGGTATTTAAGGGAGCAACTCTTCGAGTTAAAAAGTGTTTGCTATGAAGCGGGCTTAAGGTTTACTGAAATCAAACTCACGACGCGTTTTATATAACATGACACGTGATTGATTGTGGTCATGTGGGAAAGGTAATTCGGCGTCAGCGCATCAGTTCTAAAGGCTCAGAGTAAGCAGCAACATAACAGGAATAACGGCAAATCATATTCACGTTTGGCGAGTGTGGGACGGTTCGGGTCGGCGGTCGCGGCGAGCGGAGGAGCGGTCGCGGCGCGGGCGCACACAGAAGAGAAGGATCACGAGTGAAAACGTGCTCAGGCAGAAAGAAGCTTGCAGAGAAGCAGTAGAGAAGTGCAGAGCGGGACTTGGGCTCACATACAGTGGGGGGTGGGAACAGTGGTATAATACAGGATTACAACAGATTTCATTTACACGTTACAAGGTTTACTACGAACTATACAACATTTCAAAAAAGATCATTTATAAAAACATTTTAGTACAGTCTTTAAAACGAGAACACAGCACAATTTAGCCAATCGAAATCCTTTTTATCGACCTTATTATAAAGTATATTATTAATCCAATATTATAAGGATATTAATAGGGGTGTTTAATCATGTTGTGTTAGTTAATGTGAGCGTAATGTAGTTAGAGCAGTGTTAGTGGTTACGTAGATAATGGTCAAGAAGTGAATTGCTTAAGGAGATTATGGCTTACATATACTTCCTCCCATTGCGACACATATCGGACGAGTCTTGAGAGTCGCAGCAACCGCACCAGTGACAGCAGCTTGGCTAACCGAAGTATTCTTAGTGCGCGACCCGCGTGAAGTAATTGGAAACTTTCACTAAAATCCTGTGGGCATAATCAACAGAATGTTACCGTTGGGTGGTACACACCCGCTGATGCTCCAAGGAAGCCCAAAGATCTCTTTAGAGCACCACAACACGATGATTTTCTCCTTTTTATAGTCGACGTGAAAAAGACATGCAACGTTGCTGCCAGTAATAGTCTCAGCCAAAGAAATGTGCTCAAGCATTAGTTATAGATGCTTTAAAGTTACATAACGATTAGTTAAACATACTCATATCATATTTAATAAAACAATTTTAAATTAATAGAAGCCATTATAAAGATTTTATTATAAGCTTGTATAGAATGTTCTTAAATATTCAAGTTTTTTATAAAGTATTCTTCAAAGCGTAGTTGTCTACGATTTAAGGAATTGTTATATAATAAATATAAAACATGTTACAATTCGGTCGTGTTTCTCAAATCTACAAAAAAAATAATAATAATGTTGATGTACGGAACAGCTCAAAAAAATAATGTGTTTTAAACCAAAATTAATAAATGTATATAGAAGCCAAAAACAGTACATTATATCAATTTAGAAGCGTTTAATATCTGTCATGCTATAGGTACAACAAGTGGGGAAACTTGATTGAGAAAACCAGAGATACATCAAGAGAAGACGTGCAAAGAAAGGATAGGTTTATAAGACTCAGAGAATAATTTACAGAATTAAAACAAAGATCAGTGCGATATTATTTTTTACTTTGAAAGTGCACGAAGTAGAAGTGTTCTTAAAAAGATCAAAATTTTTAGATATGATGAGCACCCCATATGATCAGTTACATAAACATGATAGTTAAGCCTTGGGGCGAAGAAATTCAGGTTCGGTTCATATGGGTTACTTATGTTAATCGTGCAAGTGGTGTGAAGAATCAAAAGGAGAAAATTTATGCTGTTGAAGTCTTTGAATAGGAAGCTATAGTGCCAATCAAACCTTTACTTGATAGACCCTTAAATTATGTGACAATAACACGTTGGCGCGTTGTACGTTCTCGTGGCAGCCGAATAGAAAATCACAATGAGTAACATAAAAAAGTACAAATAAAACCCAAAAAAATACAATGTTTGCTATAAAAAAATGAAGACCCAAGCTGAAACAGAACATCAAAACATAAAAGATAGTTAAATCTATAGTAAAAGAAACACGGCCAAATTGCAACGTACGTTTACCTGATTGAAGATCAAGAAAATATAATCTAGTGGTATACTAGAGATGAGGTCTAGGAAGAACCACGTCCTCAAATAATGCTTTGCTATTAACTTGGGATCTAATATCACTTGTTCCGCATTATCTTGCTGCATTATTCCTAAAAAAATCCAGAAGTTTATCCTGATGCCACCAGTATGTATTATGATCAAAAGAAATAAATAGCTAAAAATACCTGTTCTAAAATTAACAACAATATCTATAAGGAATATGGTGTCAGATAGGCAGTTGAAGGCTATCCAACGCGTGCTGAGGTCGTCGTTGAAGAAGGAGATGGCAACGGGCAGAATGATCAGGTTAGCAACCAGTAGCAGTAACATACATAGATCCCAGTAGAACCTGAAAACAGAAAAAAAAACTAAATATAAGTCGAAAATCTTGATTTTATGAGAAATTAAAGGGTGATGAATAATTATTTATATTTATATATATTATATATATGGTTACCCTTAAATTTAATTTCAAATTAATTCGGACATTAAAAGAGATACTAAGGAAGTAGTAATTTTTTTAAATATAAAAATTACTAGAAATTTAAATTGTTTTTTGTTATTGTTTAGTGCTAATCTTTGCACTTAAGATTGAACATTAAAATAGATGCCGAAGACGTGGGTTCGATTCCCACAGCGGCGACAATCTTTTCGCACGTTTTCTACATATTTTAATAAAAATGCCTACTTTCTGACAAAATACTATTTGGTCGCCGCGCTCAAAGCCCGCGATAAAAGCTATGCAATAGCTTGAAAATCAATTTACATAGTAATTATTTTAAAAAAAATTGGTTAAATTAAACATAGAGTAAATATCAAATTGCTTTTAAATAAAAATCTTTTCTCAGGACCATTTTTTTGGTAACGTGCTGGAAATGCCTATGCATACTATCCCTCGAACCAACTAAAACCCCCAAGATGATACACATATTGTTGGCGCTGGCAACACTGTTAACTGGATATGACGTTATCTACTCGAGCTAACGGACACATGGTCGCATAGAGTAGTGGTCACTTGGATTTCGAATGCGTTCCTGGACAGTGATATAACCACTAGTGCTACTTGTCGTTATAATAGTTGTTAATATTCAAGTTCAGTAATAGTTAAAAAATTAGAATCAAGGTAAAAGCGTTAGAACTCTTATATCAGAAGTGGGATCCAATATGAAAACTCGCGCTTGGCTGTTCAAACAATCGGCGACATATTTTCTCCTTAGGTACCTACCCTCGTAAAATAAAACGGTGCGTTTTATACTTACTATACGTAGTAGTGATAAAATCGTTTAGTTAAATGTAACGAAAGTTTTGGCTTGAACTGGCGATGGATATCCATTGTAAACACTATCACTGGTACTTAGACAACGTAGCAATACACGACTGGTCTAACCGGTAAAGCTACCTAAGTTGATAAATCGATGAAAACTGTGAACGTGGCGATATGCATCCCAGTTGTGAGGGATAAGCCACAGGGTAAGTGTTTTGAACGTGGCGATATGCATCCCAATTGAGGGATAAGCCACAGGGTAAGGTGTTCTGAAGTGGTGATATTCATCCCAGTTGAGGGAGATAAGCCACAGAGTAAGGTGTTAATTTTATGAAGGTTACTTGTACCAGACTACAACGCCCTTCGAGGACGAAGGCGTGATGCAGGACGGCCGAATGTTGGCGCTGGCAACACTGTTTACCGGATATGACGTTATCTACTCTAGCTAAGGGACACATGGTCGCATAGAGTAGTGGTCACTTGGATTTCGGCTGCGTTCCTGGACAGTGATATAACCACTAGTGCTACTTGTCGTTATAATAGTTGTTAATATTCAAGTTCAGTAATAGTTAAAATATTAGAATCAAGGTAAAAGCGTTAGAACTCTTATAATATTGGCTGCGCTGGCTTCCTCAGCGGCCCCTTTTGGGAAGCAACTCCCATCACATCTAGCATCAAATTCTTTGTAAATTTTTACACTTAGTTGTTTGTGGATGTCACCTATTTTATTTTAAAAGTTAATGGAACTTTAAGCTCTATTCATAAAATAAAATAATTAGCCCAGCATATGCAAAGCGTAAATATTTTAATGCCCAACCTGTTGCAACTATAGCAACATTAAATGTTACAAATATTTTATAGACAGCATAATATGGCAATGTTATTGCATCTCTCCCTCTTCCGCTGCGGCGATCCCGGGCCAAATACACGTCTGGTGCGGGTGTTCGTGGAGCGGAGTCCACGAACACAAGCACCTATCAAAACAAAGGCAACCCAATCGATCCACACAACCATTAAAAAATCTTGACACGTTGGAAATTATTTAAAAAAAATGCAAATCATCATTCTTAAGTGTCAGATTGAGTGTGAAACAAAAATATTTATGTACTTATTTTACTTCTTTAGCGTATGAAAACAACAATAACTAAAAATATTATCCCATGTGCCAGTACGCTTTTTTATGCAATTGATAACGGTATTATATTAAATATTTTGGGAATTATAGGTAAATTTGAAAAAGTCATTACTGGTTGCTATGATAATAACGTGTTGGTTGCAATTTTAGCTTTCGGTGTGCGCACGCATCGTAAAATTTTAATGTGATATTTTTTTCAAAATGAGTATAATTTCAAAATGAATTAAGGTCGATTTTAATGAATTACCAATAACTTCTACTAATAATAATAAATTGCATAAATTAATGGAATAACATAGAATACATTAGAAGCATTGGAAAAAATTACAAGTACAGAGGAGGTCTTAGCCCAGCAGTGGGGCATTCATTGGTTGTCACTTTACCTCTGTTAGAAATAAAAGTTACGATAAAATGTTCTTTTAAAAAAATATATGCAATTATGTGAAATATGTATCGGTTAGTGCGAAGGAACATAAATTCTCATTGGTTTAATTAACCCTAATTCGATGCAGTCGGCCATTGTGATGCATAATACGTAAATGCACAATCATTTGAGCAGCTAATGGCTACGTTTCAATCTTCCATTTGCTCTTATCGCCACCTAGTAGATTGTCCCATTAAGCTGCACTAGCAACATTACTGAAGATGAAAATATTCATAAATTTGTGTTATACGTACACTGCACTTTAAATCTTTATTAATAATTCAGTTTATCACGCATATTCTATTGAAATAATGTAACCGTACCAACAGCTAGGCCTACAGCCAAAAGGAATAATTTAAGATATATCTAGATTCGGTATATAAATTTACTTTTATTGGAAAGAATTAGTACAAAATAAGCATCACGTATAGTTTTTCTTACGTGATAGTTTAAATCATAAGGAAAGAAAATTTTAATAGAAATAAAAAAAAAAATCTTTCTTTTCATATACCTTATTTCTGTAGAAGGTCATTACGATAGTTTAGTCCAGTAGACTAGTATAGTAATGGCATTCGTTACTGACGGTGAAATGGCGCACGTGAACTTTTTATCTACTAATGTCTCAAGCGACCTGGAAAGACCATTCCCCACGCATTAAATCCTTGATTACTGCCATTACTTACCGTTAGCGGATTTTTCAACAGATTGAATCCTACCTAATAATCGTCGTTAAGTTATATGGACCATTAACTGTCATAAACCTTATGCTGCTTCGTGACCGTAATGCCCTAGACCCTGTTACCTTGTGACAATCTGACAGCATACGGCGGTGTACCGGAAATGTCGTAGTGACGAAATGAAGCGGAAATGTTTTTTATATTTGAAAGCAGCTCATAACATTATTCATTTAATTTTTAAATTTATGATTATTTTTCGCTGGTATTTAGTTGATTAACTAACAATGCCCGCAACGTGAAAAATACATAAAATAAAATACGGTAGTAGAGTAGAAAATTGGCACTAATAATTCATCGATCATAAAAACGTATTTCATTTTCTTTGATATCTATGATTAAAATGCTTTAATTTTTTTGCTTTTCATTTGCTTTTCATTTTGTTTATATTTATATCTAACTCAAAGTTTCATCAGTTTATAAGGACGGACTAGTATCACAAGCATCTACTAGTAGTAAGAAGTCTACTAGTAGACATATGTAGTAAGAGCTATTTCAAGTCCCTGACTTGTACATAAATGAATTTGGTTATTTAGCTCTTAAACGTAGAAAAAAGGCGTACCTGATGGTGAACATAAAAAGCCATACATGACATAAAAAGCCGCTGAGTATTAGTTGCCTATATTGAACTTTATTTTGCTGTAAAAAGATATGTAAAATTAAAATTTACTTTAATAACTATTGCTGAAGCATTCGTGAACTCTTCTGTGACGTACATATGTTATAACTTCATATTAAAAATTTCTGTCAATTATCTTCTGCATAACATCTATTAACTGTAGTAGGGGCCACGTTATTTAAGCGCGAAGTTCGTCGTTACAAATCGTTGTACCAATAATATATTAAATTGGATTTATTAAAAGCATCGATAACCATTTAGTACCGAAGTAGACATTCCAGAAAGTTCAAATTGCGAACGTAAACATGTGCGTTAATAAATCAAATGCAAATTAATTGTTTGCTTCACTTGCGCTCATAACTATAATTAATGTGGGTCAGATCACGTGGTTTGGAAAATCCATTTTATTGTGAGTTCATTTTGAACCATTTGTTGGATTGAAATGTTTATAAGATATAAGCTACCTATATGCATTTCAATGAGAAAAAAGTTAGTAATTAGGTCTCATGTTAGGGATAATAAAAATGGGACTATGAGTAATAAAAAGTTACTTCGCTTTATTATGATGTACTTCAAAATGAGTGTGAAATTACCAACTGCCTGAATGTGGAAGCCTGTGCAAGTCGGTGGGTTTATTTGTATAAGTCAGCCGTTGCTCTAGTTGTTGCTCTTAATTATCAGTAAATATACGACGTTTTCTCGCGGAGCTTTGTCATATAGGTAGTTTTTTTAAGCGAGAGAGTGATACGCGAGTTACTATCGATATGATCGCCTGAACACTATCAATTATAATTATACTAGCTTTTCGCCCGCGGCTTCACTCGCGTTGAAGTCCTTAAGTAAATATATTTCTTTAAAAACTGTATATATATATATTTTAAAGAAAGACACTTTCAACATTTTACAACACTTTTTTCCAATTAAAAAATGTCCTTTCTCGGGCTCCTTACTGTGTACCACATTTCATTTAAATCGGTTCAGTATTTTTGGCGTGAAAGCGAGACGGACAGACGCATTTATAATATTAAGTATGGAATCTTTAACTTGTGACTAATTTAATTAGTGACAAAAATTCACAAAACAGGTGCTCAGCGGTGAGGGAAAACATCGTAAGGAAACCTGCATATTTTCGAAATAATCATAAAAAAACATTTCGAAGGCATGTGAAGTCCG